GTGCCTCGCTTAGACGATGATAATCCATTCCACTGAAATCGCTGTTTAGCGAAATCATCATCTAGCGAAAAACATTTCCCCATTGGAATGCATTGAAACCTGTTTAATGCCTTCCAATGGGGAAGAATCGTCGTTGTCTAGCGAAGATCGGCCATAGGAAAGCCGCTTTGTGAACTGCCGATCAGCTGTTTAAATAGCTGTCTTGCGAAGCTTAGGTCCCGAAAACACCCATTTTGCAAGCATGGAGGGAGCTGTCAAGATCATTGTCTAACAAAAATTGGTTTGCGAAGCAAGGACCAAACATTGTACAGTGAAATTCCCCCATAGGAATCACTGTTTTGAGAAGCACTATAGCGATTGCAAAAAGTCAATGTCTAGCAAAAAAAACTGTCATGCGGGGTAACTGTCTAGCGAGGCACCACTGTAGCTATAATGTCTGCATGTATATGGGTGTAAATATACAATAGAAGAGAAGGCCACAATGAACTGCTACCAGATAGCCTCATTTAGCAATTAATGCCAAATCATGATTTGGTTGCTACATGAAGGAGGTTAATCTCCTCTCAGTTTTAGCAGTTTGCTCCCTTTTCTTCTTACTGTATTTTACAAAGGTGGGTTGTTTAAGGTGACCATAAATAACCACAGTTTCTGGTATGGAAGAGGAAGCCACAGTGAACCAAAATCAGAAACATCTGGATGTCTCCTCTGAACTTTAAAGGAGGTGAGGGAAAGCATGACAACCAGAAAGAAATTAGTCTCATTCACTTATTTGTTTGTTTAACATGCTATTTAAATTGCATTTAAAATAGTATTTGCATGCAATTTTTTTAAAGAAATATGTAATTGAAATGCGTATGTAATGCAATAGGAAAGCAGCATGAAACATTTCAAACCTAATAAATAATTTTAATCACAATCAACAGAAAATAGAAAAACATAGCAGACATTACCTAACCAAATAGAGAAAGGCAGCATAATCCAATGTGTCTTTAATGAGTTGGCAAAGCTAGGAATGTCTTCCCATTCTCAGAGCAAGACTGTCATCTCCTTAGGAAGCACAACCTTTCATTTCCACAGGGTTTTATTACACCTTTTTTTACCCAGCTGGTGGAACAACACAAAAAGCGTTCACTGAGGATTTGAGGAGTTTGCTGGACGTGTAAAGAAAAGGTAGTCTTCATGTAGAACCGATTAATTGACCCAAACATACTAACAGAGGTGATAGAGTTGACAGTTGATTAGGTAAGTAAGTGCTGTGAAGCAAACTAGCCCCTGAGCAACAGTTAAGAGGACTCCTATTGCCGTTCATGTGATTCAGAAAAGAGAACTGCTGTGGATGAAAAACGGGAAACCAAGGTCACGTCTAAGAAGTTCTGGTACAGGCAGAGGATTCTAACAGAGGACTGAAGTAAAAAAGTCTGAAGCAGATCTGAGAGTTAGAAATACAGTTCAGGCATAGTGTGGCAAAAAGCATAATTACTCACTCTGCAGTTTAGAGTGGAGGAAAGACTGTGTAACACATTTGCAACAAATCCAAGTCCTGGTCCTGCTTTGACATCCTTGTTTTGAAAACACTTTAATTAAGTTATGAAATACCCATTGTTGGCTGAGTCATGCAACTCAGTGTATATAATGCAGAGATACAGAGATTTCTTAACTTGTCCCAATTCGCTTCAAAAAAGTGATGCTTTTTGCATAATTGCACAACAGGGTGATGATTATAATGATGATGATGATGACGATGATTATGATGATGATGATGACGATGATTATGATGATGATGATGATGATGATGATGATGATGATGATTATTATTATTATTGATGAGTTTAAAAGATATAAATATTATGAACCATCTTTATGTTCACCATACTCACAGTTACTGCACTAATTTGTAGAGTGGAACCAAGATCTTCCAAAATAGCATGTTTCATAGTGTGTAGGAAAAGAGAAAATATTTTGCTTCATCCTCAAAATGAGAGAGATTGCCAAATCAAGAAGCCCAAAATAGCTATCTGCTACAGATCCTAATAATCAATAAGAATAAGAATAAAAGCATAGATTTATGATAGCACAATTACAATGTATTTACCCTCAGTCTTATTACTGGTAGTCATATGGCTAAAATGTGAACAGTAAAAAATATTATGTTGGCAGATGTAAGGGTGAGGACTGTTGGCAGTGGCCCACTTGATAGTGGCCACACAATGATGTAATTCCTTTACAGCTCACTTATGGTTGGCTGCCTCGGTACATGCATCAACAAGGACATGAATAATCATTTCTTCACAGTAGCCTTTCCTTAAGAATGTGAACAGCATGTATGATTTGCAACAGTTTTATTTTTAAGAATCACACACCAATCTGATATATTTCACATCTCTGTGTTTCTCATCACTTTTTGAGGATCTGGCACTCAGAAGGCCCTCATAAATACTGAGAATGAACAAATGAATACCATTTGTGGAAAAAAAATTCCCCTCTTAGATGAAAAGGAAGAAACTTTAGCAATGGAATGGGGGCACAAATTATGAACAGCTAACATGATCAAACTTGCTAATTTTGTGCATATAATGCAAAATACATTAGACAGATCCTTTTAATGGCATTTTGGATGAAACAGAAGAAAGAGAGTAATTTACAAATTGTATCTAATGTGTCTTCTGCATTAGTTAAGCTGTGTGAAGAATAAAATGGCATGTTTGTTTTCATCCTTGCCTTATAATTTTCAGAATCTAATCACTGCCTTGCTTATTTTTTCATGAGTTTCTTAATGACAAAATACGTAAACAAATAAATCATGGTTTAAGTTCTGCAGAGCAAGCTGAATTTTGCACAGATCTATAAATATGAGCATGTTGCATTACCTTTGTATGAAATAGCTGTATATTGACCTCAGTTTTAAGTCTATCATTTGCTTTTGTTTAAAAATAAAGCAGCATACGCCAGCCTTGCGCACAGTGACAGATGGTGGCACCACTTGGCATGAAATACACCTTTCCCCCAATGCGTTATGTTTATCAGACAATAGATGTAGATAAAGTATAGGTATTTTCTCTGTTTCATTTAAAACAGACTGATAGGATGCTGTAAGAAATTTCCTATAAATAACATTAGCCAGCTGCTGAGTTAGAATCACTAAGATGAACACAAGGGCTTTTGAAACAACAGCCTATGTCGATTCTTCTTCTTGGAATGTGCCCCCATTTGAAAATATAAGACAAAGTTTAGATATTTGGTTGAGTGCACAATAATCAGAGGTAAAGTCAGGTGTTCATATTTTAATCTTGTCTGGTGTATTTTTGTTGAAAACTTCTAGGCTTTATTTTATGTGGATGCACGAATCTCAACATTCACAATCTGCTCATGCATCCTCTCTTTTACCTATGCACGCATCCCCAAATGCACATTTTTTGAGACAGAAGAATTGATCCCAGGATAACTTGCATTTTTCATGGTCAGCTTCAGCTTTTGAATAGATTTATGGACTTCAAGGGGGAAATTAAACTGTGATACATTAATAGTGATTAGTATAAGTAGGGAACAAACCACTAACCCTGTAACAGTTGCATTGCTTAGATTATAAGATACATACTCACCTATGGAATATCACAGTCTCCCCAACATCGCCTCAGATGAGGCCAGGTGCACACTCCCATCCTAACTTATTTCACAGGACTCTTGTGAGGGTTAAGTGGGGAAAGGAGAACTGTGTATGCTGCTTGACCTCCTTTGAGCAAGGAAAAGCAAGATATTAAAGAAACAAACAAATAAAGCAAATAACTCCCTCACACCTTTACAAATGGTCCCAGAAAACTTGGAAACCCACTAGAATATGATTCTGTGGCAAGGGAGGGGGTAGAGTTGTGAGGCAGAAATTAGTGATTGTCTGTCAGGCAGGTGGAAGTGCTTCTGTTCAGACCTTGGAGTATATTGCCTTTGTGGTTCTGGAACACTGAGATGCCTCAAGGAAGAACATTTTGCTTCCTGATTGGAATGTGGGTATGGTAAAGAAATTTGAATACAATATTTCTATGTGGGGGAAGAAGAATCTGGGAACCAAATGTAAGACAAGACAATTATGCTGGTGAGACTCTAAGAAGCACAGTGACACTTTCCACATCCCTATTCTTAGAAGAACCTTGTGGCGCAGTGGTTAAACCGCTGTACTGCAGCCAAAACTGCGCTCACGGCCTGGGGTTCAATCCCAGGTCGCCGGCTCAAGGTTGACTCAGCCTTCTATCCTTCCGAGGTTGGTAAAATGAGTACCCAGCTCGCTGGGGGGGCAATGTGTAGCCTGCATAATTAACATGTAAACCGCCCAGAGAGTGCTTGCAGTGCTATGCGGCGGTATATAAGCAGCACGCTTTGCTTTGCTGATTCTGAATATTTCTGGTTCTATAAAGGCACTCAATTTATGTGGCTCTGTCACTATCTTTCATTCATTAGATTCTAGAATGCCACTCGTGGGAGTGCAAATGCATTTCTAGATTGTGAATGTCACCCCATCCAGCATGCTGTGAATCTGTTCAGGTGTCCCTCTGCATCAGAAATCATCTTAGACTATTTACCTAAGCTGGAAGTGGTGGAAATAAATGCAAACGTCATGCAGATGTTTCTGAATAGGTCCTTCTAAATTAGCTTTGAATGTTGATTTAAGCAAATAGAATTGACTATTGTACTAATTACCATTTCATGCCAATGGCCCCATGAGAGTCCTTCTGTTCTTCTACTGCCACAGTGTAATTGTTCACCAGGGAATTTCCACTTCTTCCATTTTCATTTTTAGTCAAAGAAATAAGCCATGAAGTATCAGTGGATGTCTACACAATCAAGTGTAATTCATTCTTATTGCAGAGCTTGATTCCAGAATTTGATTTGTTCAAGTACTAAAGAGACAGGGGCCAGTTGTCCTGTGTTTTGCCATTGAACCCTGCTGTATGAAGAAGCCACAGAAGAACATAACTCATTTGATTCCTTATAATTTCTCTATTTCACAGGACTGGAACGAATTGCAAGAGACTCATCTTATGAGCAAGAAGGAAAGGTCCAGTTTGTCATTGATGCCGTGTACTCTATGGCATATGCATTGCACAACATGCATAAAGATCTTTGTCCTGGATATATTGGCCTGTGTCCACGAATGAGTACAGTTGATGGCAAAGAGCTGCTGGGTTACATTCGGGCAGTAAACTTCAATGGTAAGTTTGCAGTGATTGTTCTCTCCTCTAAATATCATTCACAAGGGCCAAGACATGTTTTCATCTCTATATAGGGACACATTCAAACTTCAGATGAGAAACAGTTTCTCTGCTTACAGAATAAAACAACCATGTATGTTTTCTTGCTAAGATCCCACCACCACCTAATAATAATTTTTACCTGAGAATGGCTAATCGGAAAATTATTTGTCTTGATCTTTTCTTTCTTTCACTTCATTAGCGGCATTCACATATGCTATAAGCCAGGATTCTTGTGCTTTTACCAGCTTATATTGAGGCCTGGCACCTATAACACATTTACTCTGCATCTTGTGTCGTCAAATAAAACAAACTTGGAGGTCATAGCTTATTGTGATGTTTGAAGCAGAGGTATAAATGCTTGCCAGATTCTTTGTTCTTATAGATTTAGGCTGTCTTAACTTGATCATTCATCCCAATAAGGGATTTTCAAGCCCTACAAGGTTATCTACCTACAAACAAAGTAAGGCAAGTAACACTAGTTTTTTCTCATCAGGATCTCTTTAATTTGCCCAGTGGCTCACACTGGTGTCTTTTCCAAACACCAAACACGTAATGAAGGTTTAAACTAATGCAGACATCTCCTCTGATGCTTTTAGACTTAAAAGACCACATAACAAAGCAGCTGCCACCATCATTTTATACATTTTGTATTTCCTCTGTGAGACCATTGTGATGTCACTGAGAAGAAGCAGGGCATTCCCCCTCTCCAGTAACTAAGAGGTGAGACTGGGGATGACGCCAAGCACTGCCACCCAATGAAAAGATGGAGTGGTCCCAATGCCACCCTCTTTCATATTGCTGCAGATGGCCCACCTGCCCACTCTTTAGGCCAGAGTGAAAATTAGTTGTCATATCGGAATGGATAGGAACTTTGGGCCAGGGATTACCTGAATGGTGTATTGAACAAAAGGGGGCCGCATTGTTTTTGTCTATACCATTCTGTTTCCTACAAGGCAGTGAGAACAGATCAGGGCCAGTGTTTGGTGGGCAGTGCAGGGGAAAGGCAGGTCACAGTGATTCCCAGTGGTGCCTGTGGGCAGTTGGGTCCTCTGAATAGGTACCACGAATCACGAGATTCAGGTACACAGGCAGATTCGAGATATGAACAGACTTGATTAATGAGAATTAAGATGGAGACAGACCTGAGGATATCTTCTCAGTTAAGCCATCTGGGGCAAGGCTGGTGAATACAGCAGGGTGCTGGGGCATGGGACTTGCCCAGTCCCAGGTGGAGAGGCAGCCAGGAGGATCTACCTGCTCCTGTATCCTAAGTTTGTTGCACCACCATAAGCACCACTTCAGGTTACAGGATTAAATGGTTAACAAAGGATCAAATGGTTAACAAAGTTGTGGCCCAAGTTTAAACTCATTTATTGTGTCTCAATTCTTTATTTAAAGGAAATGTTATTTCCTTTAAATACATTATTTGCATTAAAACATTATTTGTGCAATTTTTGCTTATTTCCATACAAATAATAATAATACCATAAGCACCACTTCAGGTTACAGGATTAAATGGTTAACAAAGGATCAAATGGTTAACAAAGTTGTGGCCCAAGTTTAAACTCATTTATTGTGTCTCAATTCTTTATTTAAAGGAAATGTTATTTCCTTTAAATACATTATTTGCATTAAAACATTATTTGTGCAATTTTTGCTTATTTCCATACAAATAATAATAATATAATANGACTCTATTCTCTTCTCTTGTTGAGAATCCCACAAAATGCCTCACCCTTTCATGGGGTGAGAAGAAGAATATTGCAGTTGCTTGTCCTCAAATGTGAGGGAAAGCCAAGTGAAGATTTACTGTATATCTTAATCTGAACATAAGATCGTTTTTTGTTGCTGATTTATGATCTTGGCTTGTTTTGGAAAAAGAAAAAAGAATTTTAGTTTCTGGCATCATGACCCCTTTCTGGTGGGTTCCACATGGAGCTAAGCAGGAGTGAATGCCTTACATTATGCTAGTATGTTGTTTGCTGGGTTCCACATGGAGAGGAGCTAAGCAGGAGTGAATGCCTTACATTATGCTAGCATGTTGTTTGTGCAAAGTAAGCCAAGATGAGTTGTGAATGAACTGTGTAGTCAAGAACGGAGTGAATGCATTGCTTATGCTTGCATGTTGTTTGTGCAGAGTCAGCCAGAATGAGTCAGAAGTCTTGGCTTATCATTATATGCGAATAAAGCCATTTTATTTGACTTCAGTCATTTGACTCAAGTTGTTGCATAATTTTTAAACATACTTTTTAAAACATACTTTTTTTTTGCTTCTTTAAACAATGTTCTTCATAAAATATGGCCTGGGTCTGAGGGATATATCATTACTGTTGCTTCCATGACCAGCCAGAGAAGGATTGTAAGTATATTACTTTGTAGAAAAGACTAGGAGGGCGAAAGAAAGTTCTCCAGAGCACCTGCTCCCTTCTGAACAACCATAGGTGAGCTATACCTTGATTATATTTTGTTCTATTTTCTAGCACAAGACAAAAGGTTTTTTACAGTATTGTTCTTTCTGCCAGACATGCCTGAAAACCATAGGCAAGGTAGCATTGTCTATCATACTATACTCTAGTGACCTCAGCTGACAACCTTCTTTTTAAAAGCACAAGGTCATTTTCAGTTTAGTTTCCAAGTGGAAAGTGCTTTTGCTTCAGGTGATGCTCTAGAAAAAGCAACTGGTTGATAAGCACCTTCCTTGCAATATGTAACATTTCATCCTCTGTTAAATTTTCTTTTGGTTTCCTTTCTGAAATCTCCACACGAAATTCTAATATGTAAGTAATAAATAAAAATGGTGATACCTAGCTATTTTAGAGGATACCTACTAAATTGATCTCCATTGGGTTTAGCGGATTCTCCTTGAACATCAGAGATAAATATTAATATATTACAGTCAGAGGCTGACTACACAGGGCTGTTTAGCCTGGAGCACTGCAGGGATCGGCTATGCACTCTTAAAGACAGCCATCAGACAATGTCTTTTTGAGAGCACACCAGCTCATCCCTAGAACATTTCTACCCACACCTTTCTGGTCTCTGTTAAGGGGCTTTTGCTTTTCTGGTGCTTTTCTGATTACTCTGGTTTGTATCAGTTCCAGTGCATATGATCACTGGAAAAGATCCAAATCCAGCCTTTCTCTCTCAATTTGCCAATATAATGAAATGGCTTAATAAGGAAGCTACCTAATAAGCAAGCCACTGCAGGATATTAGCGAATTAATCAGTTCCCCTACTTGGCAGAAGGCAGGTGAAATAGGGGGAAAGTTGTTGTTGTTTTTTACTGCGTGTAGACTATTTCTGTTGTACTACATAAAAAACTATAAAAATATTTTCTTTTGCCTCACTTTGAAGGGCCAGTTGAGAAACTGCCTGCACTCAAATCCACAGTAGTAACTTCAGCTGCACTCTCTCTCTCCCTAATTATATATATATAAGCAAATACTCAGCTTCAAGGTATGGCTGCACTAGCAGCAGGGAGCAAGCTATACACTTGCCAATGTCCTGAAGTGGCTTGTTTATTAAGCCGCTTCACGATATTGGCAAGATCCATTGCTGTGTGAATGAATGGTCAGGCTTGATTAGATTGTTCTAATCAAACCCAACCATTCCCAAGCTGCTAATCAAAGCCAACCATAACACTAGCTTGATCCCTGCTGCTAGTGCAGCCATACCTTGAAGCTGAGTATTTGTTAGTATATGTGGACAATTTTTAAAACGAAAAAAGTGGTTGACTTAAGTTGGAATAATGACAAGAAAGTTTTCCCACTAAGACATTAGGATTAGCATTTATTAGATCAGCTGCATTTATTAGATCAGCTACAGGAACAACAAAGGCAGTAGCTTTTGAATAACAAAAGCTGTTGCTGTCTGAAAAGAATTGAAATATATCAGCCATCAACACTGCTGGAATGCCATTTTTTTGAGAGGGGAGTGAAAATGAGGACTAATAGTGTCATGTGCTCATGTGGTAAGTGGAAGTGGAAATGGAGTGGAAATGTAAGTAATGAAATGATGCTGGTAAATATACATCCATCTGCCCAATTTCCAGTTCAGTAGCAAGAATGTTGATACATTTTTGATTCATATTTAAAACACTGGCTGAAATCCTGTTGCTTTGTTACGTAGGCAGAAGGCAAATGATGTAACATTCATTTGATTCTAGCAGGTTATGAATGTGCAGGATTCTTGAATGTTTGGCAAGCCAGCAGATGCTTGCAATCCTGAAAAGGGCAGCACCAACTCTTCAACTGTCAGTTGGAATTGAGTGAATGCTGCCCTGTCTTCTGCCAGCTTAACCAAGCATCAATATTTCAGCCTCTATGTTTAACCTGGGTGTAGATGTTTTAAAATTAGTATGGAAAGCATGTATTTTTATACCAAGTTGTTGGGCTGGGGCTTAGGAGATTCATGTTCAAGTTTCTACAGAGCTCTGGGTGACCCCGAGCCAATTTCTCATCCTTAGCTTGATCATCCTCACAGGAAAACAGAAAAGAAGCACAGTTGTTTGGTCGGTCAGCATCATTCTAAACCAGGGTTCGGAAAATATTCGAACACTAAAACAGTGAAAATGTAAATAGTCCAGGACTGTGGCTGACAATTGCAGAGCTTGGGGTGATGCAGGAGAAGAAGGGGAAAAAAAGTCCAAAAATCATCCTGGCTAGATGATGAAACTACAGGATTTGACAAATTTAAGTTGAAGCTCTCGTCCTAGCAAGCTGCTGGAGTTACAGGATTTGACAAATTTAGTGTGAAGTTAATGCCCAGATTTTCTGATGTGGGAATTGCCATGTTTCTGAGTGCTTCTGTTTCCAGCTAACATAGGAACAGTCATTCATCTGAGAAAGAGGAAATTGATTTTAACCTTCCCTATGGCAAACCATTCCTTGACACTAGCACTCAAACTTCTACAAATCTGCAGTCTCTAAAGTAATCTTAGTTTAACTGCAGATCCTGCC